TAACTTATTGGGCTATTCTTTTGATAAGTGTCAAGTCTTTGCAAAGCTTAACAAGCTTTCAGCTTTCACTGCAAAATTTAGTATATATATTTGTTGCCTCTACTCTAAGGTCATAGTTCCCACTGCCCAGAGCACTGTCTTTTTGTCCGGGCATTAGCTTTGCCTATAATTTCAGCCTGTCATGTAATCTTAATGTACAACAATTTTACTATAAATTTCGCAAAATATATGCCAAAGCTCTTAAGAATGCACTTAAAATAAAAACAAAAATATTAAATCATTATTAAGTGCAAAAATTGTTGAATTTATAACAGTTAGGGTCGCTGAAAGATGGAGAGGAGGAAGACTCTGCTCGGAGGAAGACAAAACAAATATGCATATGCTTTGTAAATAATTTTCTATACCAGCAGCTACGCAAAGAGTTTGTCTTCTCAGCTCAAATCAGGACTTCTTCAGCCAGAGTAGGGCAACTCTCAGGCAACTCTCAGGCACAGTAGAATATGCCCCACCCGCCTCGCTTTTGTTGGACTCCCTTCTGCATTATTATAATTTATTGCGTTCTTCGGCTTGAACATCAAAATACAATATATTAGATATTTCACACGTTTAACTAAAAGCATTGCTGTTAGTTGTCTGAAAATATTTGCACAATTTCTCATCTAATAAACGAATATTGTCCAAAATTCACTAAAGTGTACAAATTTGCCAAAAACAATTTCTTAATTTGCGTTAAATTTGAACAAATTTTCAGCGCTGCTTTAAACAAAATCGAAAATTCGAAAATAAAATTATTTATCCCCTTGTTTTTTTTACATAATAAGTTTCATAATGATTTTTGACGCGCGCGTGCAGGCTCTCGCTCCTCTATGCAATATCATTAAAGTTAATGCTCTAGAAAATTCGATTATTTACAATTTTAGCACAGCGCATAAAATTGCAGTCGAACGTTTCGGGTTTTTAACAACCATGTGCACACCAGTGTTGATTTATGTGAAAATATTGAGCTTAAGTGTGGGCTCAAAATTAGTAGGCGCGTTTATTTGTCAGTTATTGGCGTGTGCTCATATGCTGTAGTTAACGTGCACAAAAGTTTTTAATCAAAACAGCAAAACGAAAATGGAAAATGAAAAATGGAAAATCGAAAATAGAAAACGGGCCAAAGTTTTCAATCTCTCTCAAATGTCGAAGTATTTTTCGACACACTCGACTGGGGGCTGTCAACAGCCAATTTTGCACATTTCTAGCTGCGTGGAGGAGATGCGGGGAGAGAGAGGGGGAAAAAGAGGGTGAGTGAGGGCGATTGTGAGTGGAATTATAGCTTTGTATGAATTGCCGATGGATTTATACACTACCTTTGGCTGTTATACTTACGAGCAAAACTTATCAAGCTGCCTGCAAATTGTATATCTTTTCCTATGAAAGCTTTATCTTGTGATTTTTGGCTTTCTACAGCAGCTGTGTCAAGTTTTAGTATTATATATCCATCGAGAGCCCAGTTTAACTGGGCTTCCCCATAACAAAAGAGCTGCTCGAGCCTCTTCTCGAACATTTCTAGTACTTGTTGAACCTACAGGTCTCCACTTCGAGAGGTCACAGACTGCATTTTGCAATTAAAATGCCTTTTTGGTAGCGTATAAATGGAAAGTTTTTCGCCCCAGCAGCGGCCGCTGCATGTCCAGGTTCCAGACCCTTGTGTGTGTGTGTTTGTGTGAGTAATTCCTGTTGAAATTTCTCCATTACTTTTGCAGTTCAATGTTTTACTTTTACGCTCCTTGCAGCCCGCTGCTGCTGCTGCTGCTGCTGCTGCGGGTGGTGGCGCCGCGCCCCACTTGCCACATGGAAAATTTACTCGGGGTTCATTTGATTTGCCCGAAAACTTTGGTGGCCACAAAAGTTTGGGCTCTCGGTTCTTGGCAGTGCCGGCGTTCAATGCATTTGATTTTGTGCGCACTGCCAAAGTTTTTGCCTTAAAGAATTGCGAATTGAATGTTTGTTAGTGTGTGTGTGTGTGTGTGTGTTGGTGTGTGACTGTGTGTGTGTGTGTGCTTGAGTGCAACATGTTTGCTGCCGAAATGAACGGCGGCGCGTTGAATAAAATGTTGACAGAAAGCAAACTGCAAAACTGCCAAGTGCCAAGGCTTACAAAGAATGTCGAAATATAATTGGCGCGCAGTTGAAAAATGCTCGCTATAAGTATGTGTGTGCGCGGGTGTGTGTGTGTGGTTGTGTTGTGCCAACAATGGCGTCCAATTATAGCGCGAGACGTGCCACAATGGCCAACGATTTGATGTTATTTGAAGTGCTGCGAGCGCCTTTGGCCGATTGATTGGCTTTGGCCAAAAGTTGTTGCCTACTTTAAGGCGACGCCCCTACTAGACCCCCATCCCCGCCCCCCCCCCCCCCCCCCCTCCTCATTTCCCAACCAAGCGAAACACTTGCATATTTGTAGTTATTATTTAAATTACATTTATTTTCTCATGATAATCACTTGTGTTTTTGTTTTTACTTTTATATTTTATTTGAATGCATTTCGTTTATTGTTTATCAATGCAAACAATTGTATGGCTATTTTTCTCTTTGTTTAATTTTTATGCTGGTTTTCCAGTTGTTGTTGTTGTCTGAGCCAGGGGCAAGTTTAAAGTTTTAATCGTATTTTTTTTTTTCGTTTTTATTTCTTTAAATTCATATTCATCAAAGTTTGTTGTAAAGTTGAAATTTTACATTGAAAACTTTTTAAATGATTTTCTTGCATGATTTCTATTTTGTCTCTTTTTTTTTTTAAGTTTTGCTTTAATTTATGTTTTTTTCTTTTTTTGTTACCGAATACAGTACACACTTATAGAATAATTTCTGATTTAATGTTGTCTTGCATGCGCTCGCCCATTAATTAGTTAATGGCTTTAATTAAAATATTTACAGTGGGGAAAATGCATAACAATGGAAACCAAACGATATTATATTTAATGTTCTTTTCTTTTCATTTAATCAAAGTGTGCTGGCTTTAAATGTGGGGCTTTAGGCATACACAGATACACACACGCACACACATCGACCAAACTGACATTTGGTATTAAAATGGGATTTTCGTAATATGCCATGATTTCGGTTTTTGTTCTCGCTTTGCTTTTATTGTTTTTGTTTTTTTCAAATATTATTATATTAATTTTCGCGCATTTCGCTTGCTTTTTTTGCACACACTAATGAATCTATTCAAATCTCATGAAATTTTTAACATTTGTTTATTATGTTATTAGTATATTTGTTATGCTTTATGTGGCAATGAATGTGTTTGTTTTTCTTTTTTCCGTTCAATGTAATGCTTCTTTATTTGATTTGTATTTTATTTATTTTTTGCTTAAATCGTACAACACTCAAATATGTTTTCATATATTTTTTAAATGTGATTCGGTTTTTTCTAGTTTTTGTTTTTTTGTATGCTGCGCAAAAAAACAGTCCGAGAGAATTGTACATATTTGATTACGTAGATGTTGGTTTTAATCTTCAGGTGTTTTCTTTTTTTTTTTTTCCACTTTCATTTATGTAAATTGATTTTTAATGAGAAAGCGTAGAAAGTAATTCTGAAATGTTGAATACTCTATACTAGCTGTACTATGGCTTAACTATCAATTTTGTTGACTTTCTGATTTTACTAGGGATTTCTTTTGTTAATGAATTTTTCTGTTTTCGATTTAATTTACTTTTTTTTTATTACTATTTAGTTGAAGCAGCAACATCTAAGGTTAGCCTCTTCGTGCTTCTGATTGCTGTTCATTATGTTATATATGTATACTATATCCGAGCTGTAGTTAGTTTGTCTGTTGTGCAAATCGTTTCTGGTTTTGACATTTTCAATTGTTGCAATTCTTTTTTGGCTGTGCGATTAATTACAATTTTGACTCTGACAGCTGTGCCTAGCTCTGCCCCTACCTGCCCCTACCCTCCCTCTCCCTCTCTCTCTTTTCCTCGTGCTGCTTTCAAGTTTACAACAATGCCGGATTTTATTTTTGTTTGTTCAGTCATTATGTGTGTTGTTCTTGTTGTTGTTGCTGCTGTAATTTATGTATTTTCCACTTTTATTTACACGAGAAATAAAATAAATATAATATATTTGCGTTTGTTTTTCCTGTGTTCTGTTTTTTTCTGCCTTGCCATTTGCAATACAATTTATTTTATTTACAAACTTAATAATGCAATTAATTATTGTTGTTTTTATTTGTATTATTTATGTTTTTTTTTTGTTTTTTTAATTTTTTATGTCTATGCCTTGGTTTTCAGTTAGTAATTAGTAACAGTAATAATAATAATAACGCTTGGTATGTGTGAGTGTATTTTTTTTTATATATATATATATATATTTTATGGACTGAAATTGGCTACTTATGCAAAATGGTTTTCTTATTTGTTTTTTTTTTTTGGTTTTTCTTTACGATATAAATATGTATGTCATTTGCATATGCATAGAGCTATATATATAGTTCTAAAGTGGGATTCATGCAGTTTTCAACTGCTGAAGACCAGAAATATCAAAATTAAATCAAATTGCAATTAGCCGCTGATTGCTTTTGGCAAAACTAAATAAAAATAACCAAAAGATAAATGCAAACAATTGAATACACATTTGAAAAACTTTAACAATTACTTTAACTAATGCATTTTACATGACGCATACACATACATACACATAAATATATAAGTGATAAAAAACTTGTTTAACATACTGTACACAATTATGTAAAATGATTTTGCCAACTTAACTTACGCGTAGATAAATTTGCTTGATGTTCTTCTTGTTTTTATAAATGCCTTGCAGACACAAACACACACACACACACACAGAGTTACACACACGGCGCTTGTGTATTTGTGTGTGTGTTTGTTATTTAACATGATTTTTACACATTTAAGATTTCTTTCGCTTTTTTTTTTTCAATGAGACTTAGCTTATGATTTACGCTAGTATTTTTTTTTTGTATTTATTTTCTTTTTGTATATTTGTTATTTATAAGTATTTATTTATATATTTGTTGCTGTTAAGTTCTAACATTGAAATAGCTTAAATAGGATTCTCATACTTTACTATGTATATATATATATTATTTATATTTATATATTCCATTTTGTGTTTTCGCGCTGTTATTCTGTATGCTATTGTAGTTGCTTAGGTCAAGAAAATGCGTCTGCAGCAGGAAATTAAGAAAAACAATATGCGCAATGAGTTTGCGTTGCATACTAGGGGCATTTGGCGGGGGGGGCGTGGCTAATACTCACCTTACAACGACCGTGTTTAGCAGCAGACAGGGCGCCAGCATCGACCTAAATATGTGCGTGATGCGATCGGCCGAGGAGGTCTTGCGCCTCGAGATGGCCGCCATGTTGTCGCCTGCAAGTGACAGGGTTTATATAAATTCGTATTAGATATATTTATATATACATATATATAGAATTACTGGGCGACAGATACGCTGCATTTTCATTAACATTTTAATAAGCTGCAGGCGATGCACACAATTTGCATATTTTCATTTACACTTCTTATCGTGGAGCGCGGCGCAGCGGGGCGCTGCGCTTTCGCGATGGCTATTTAAATGCTAAAATCACAAGAAATTCAATTTGGCCGCGAGGCAGTCATGCAAATTGCATGCAACTGTTACGTGCAACAATCTGTGCATATTCCCCCCTTCTCAGCTGTCCCTCTCTCAGCTGAGAAGCTGCTTGGCCCTGTAGCATCAGAGGTAGCAGCTGTTGTTAAATCTGTGCTCAGTTTTCTGCTTAGCTGGCGCGCTCATCTGTGATTCTCACCTTTTGATACAAAGACATAAATGCTAGCTGGCTCGGTGTTGCTGGCGGAGCAGGTGTAGTTGCCGGAATCGGTGATTTGGGGCTCGCGTATGATAAGACGGCTCTGGGTGCGGGGACCCGGTGTCGTCTCAATGGATATGTCCCGCCTGGAGTCATAGTAGTTGATGAGACGATCGTTTTTCTGCCAGTACACGTACTGCGGTGGTGTTGGACTCTGTGCGGCAGACAGAAAATACAAACCATATGCATGAGAATATATATAAATATTAAGTATACGCACGCGTAACATTCGTACATATTACGCATACGCCATGTGTGTGGCAAAAATAATCAATATGTGATTCAATCGGTGATTTGATTGACTTAAGCTATTAAAGAGAGCAGAGCATGAGTATAAATAAATGAATTGTAAATGTTAAGTATACGCACGAATGCAAAATTACGTATACGCCACGTGCAATGCGTAAGCGATTGATAGAAGAGTTATTCGGTTTAAAGTATCGATAACTAACGATATTTTTAAAAAACATACTCAATGAATTAAATCATCAACAGTTATCGTTGCTTACAAAAAATGTATCTAACGCTTTACTACACTGTTACTTAACACTCTCTAAATTGTATGAAGACTAATGTTATTCATCGCAGTTTACGTTTGGTTTGAATATTTTTTTTTTTTATATTACTATATTTATATTAAATATACTCAAGCTAAATCGTCAATAGTTAGCGATACCAACAAGAAAGTTAGCGAACGTTTTGCAGCACTGTTAGTTATCGATACTAACAAAAAGGCTATCGAAAGCTCTCAAAATAGTTTTGAGTCTGAATTGATTTATCGCACAATTGCTCTTGAGTATTTTGTTGTTGGTATTTCTCAATGTATTTCCGATTTTGGTTGGTATATTTTTGTGACTTTTCGTACTTACCTTCTCAATAATGCAAACCAAATTGATTGTTGAGCCCATATCGACATGCAGTTCACCGGAGCCAAGTATAAATGCCTCGGGCACAACCACTTGAAGATTCACAAAGTGCGAAATGATGCCAGTCGGTGTGGATACCTATACGACGAATAAAGTGTGCGAGTTTTGAGCTACAAGTTTGAATTTGATTCGCATACGCTTAAGCATTCGATGTAATCAACTCGAATGTTAATGCATCAGTAGACACTGAGCCACGGCATCAGTCAATCAGTCAGTCAGTCAGTCGGTGTGCGCATTAGGTTTATATTGCGACACAAGTTTCCTTAACCTCTTCCTGCTCTGCCCGAAACTGGCCCAGTGAAACGTTTTGAGTGCAAGAAATGTTGCACTCATTGAAATGCAAATCAAACAATTTCAATTTGGCACGCAAAATGAAACAAAAACGAGCATTTTCTATATAAGTGGAAAAGTGCTGGCGCTATCCTGCAAACACACGCTGCATACGAAAAAGAGACGGGGCAGCCGGGCCGGGACACCAATTGCACTGCAATGCAAAAGGAAAAATAATCATTTCGGCATATTTGCATGCAGCGCTCGTTGAGCGCCCCAAAAACTGAACCGGCTGCCCCGTCTCTGACAGACTGCCAGACTGGAGAGTTGTGGCATGTGGACTCTATCTCCGTTCCTGCGTCTCACACACACTCACTCTCTCTCGCACGCAAACAATTTTTGAAATTGAAGCTACGTTTCGGGCACTGCCCGCTGCCCGTCCATACGCTTGCCGTCTCCAAGCAGCAGCACTTGTGCGGCTGCTGCACAAACAGACTTACTGTCAAGTGTCCATTTCAGGCGTTTCCCCAAAAACTTTGTTGCTTTTCGGTTAGTTGTCTCTCTACTCGACTCGACTCGACTCGACTCTCTTACAATGTTTTCCCTATCCTTTTTTTTGTGGCTCTGACAAAACACGCCTCTTGCCATATCCGCATGACTTTCGGCTTTGTCTGCTGGCTTACTTTTGCATTACTTTGAATGCATACACACATTGGGTGTGTGCGTGTGCGTGTGTGCAAGTCACTGGCTAAATTTGTCAATGTCCAGTTTATCTGGCAGCCGCAGCGTCTGCGCTTGACAGCCACATGGTTTCGGCTGTGCCCGGCCAAAAGCCTGTCAACGTCATCTACATGCGAATACGAATGCGAATGCGGATGCGGATGCGCAGACGCCCAGCAGGTTGCCTTAAATCGAGGCTGTTAAAAAAAATACTGCATTTGCATATTACAATTAAATCAGGCGCCGTGTACAAATCGACAGTGATGTGGAGTAAAAATTGTATGTAGCAAAAGCCCGAAAACCTCAATATTGCGTATACGCCACCCCAACCCCACCATCCCTCCCCCCGCCCGTGTAACCGAAGTGGAGCATATGCAAATGCACTTTAGTTCATTTCAACTGCATTGCATGCATAAAATATATGAAATTCCAGCATTTGCCCACCACTCACCTGGCACTCGTACATGCCGTGATCCCGGCGCTGCACAAACTTTATCTGCAGCGTCCACATGTTGGAGCCGGGCGTGTGGAGTATCGCGAAGCGTTCATCATTTGTATAGAGCTGGGCGCCCGAGGATAATATGTGCCAGTCTCGGCGCCGTATCCAAGAAATTTGATTCTGTTCACAAAAAAACCAAAGCAAAATTAAAGTAAATATAAAGCAAACACAAACACACACACACACACACATGCACATTATCGAATGCCATGTTAATTGGACAAGCGCTCGAAAGTAGGCAACAGAAAATTAAAATTCCGACCACGCTACAAGCGCATGCAATTAGTGTATACATATTGTCGCCATTTTATAAGTGTTTATAAAAAGCACTATAAATAGCTCTGTCTGTGTGTGTGTGTGTGTGTGAGCCGCAGCTCTGGTATATTTATAAAAAAAAATATAATAATAATGGCTTGAGAGCAACAACAGGTTGTTTTTTTAATTGCATTTTAATACGATTTAAATGCAGGCAGATAAAATATATAAAGGAAATAAATAAAAGCATATTTAAGATTATTTACAGCCACAACACATTAAGTATATTTATGTCTACATCATTTGCAAGAGGAAATACTTAAAAAGTAACTGGCCAAATAAAAGTTTTAATAGCACCTTCATTTTTATTTCAGATAAGCCAAAAGCCAAATGCATTTCAAATGCCATTTTTGTATCGGGCTCGGGTTGCTTGGCCAAAAAAAAAAGCTGACAGCCAATGCAGCCAACGACAGCTTAGGTAAGCTCAACTCAGCTCTACTCAAAACTTATTGCTATTGTCCGGAATTGTGTAGTCAAGATATCAGGCATTGACTGACTGTCAGACAGTTCTTTATTTTATATATTTTTATAGCTTTATAATTCGTTTTCAAGCTTGTGTCTTGGTCTTTGATTAATTGATATTTTAGCACATGCTCGTTCCAATTATGGGCTAGTCTGTGGCATTGCGTTCCATTGCTTTGTGTTGCGTGTCACATTTGGCCGTTTAATTGCTTGTTAGCAAACGCTGAATGGCAAACAAAGTGTACACAATGTCATGGCAAACGTTTTCTGGCTTTCAGCTGCAAATTAAACTCGTATTTGTATTTCGTGCTCGACTGCCAAACAAATTGGACATTTGCGTGCCCGATTTCACGACGACATAAAATACAAATAAGCAGGCCAAATAGTAAAACACAAAAAATAAAGAGAGAAAAAAAAGAACTGAAAGCCATATAATTAAAACCCAAAAAAATACTGCAGCGCTATTTGCAAGCGAAACTTAAATTTATAATTTGTTTTTGTTGGCATGCATAAAATGACTTTGGCTTTTGTGTAGTATTAGGCTAGGCGTGCTAGGATTGGATGAACCACGGCACAATTAGAAAGACAAAAACAAACCCAATTTACACCCACTCGATCCACGCCGGTGACCTTGCAGACGAGAAAGGCGGTGCCGCCCAGCTGGACGGTCGTATTATGCGCCATCAGCTGTGGGGGGGAGAGAAAGAAAATACAAGACAAAAAGTTAAAAGTTCATTTTTTATGTGTTGCCTGTAAAAGAAAAGGTAGATGGATAGCCAGACAGAGTGCGGCCCATTACAAAGAATGCCATTAAAAAAAAAACCGAGCCACGTCGCACAATTAGTCAGCAGAACACATAAACTACATATATATAAGTATATATAGATATATATATATATATATATGGGGATATGCTCGATCTGAGCGCTGTCTAATTATATGGGTTGAGTGGCGTGGCCTTTTTGGATAATTAGATAGACGTAGCGCGGGCGCGCGAATGTAATATAAATAAGCACTAAAGATTAATTAGACTTGGCTTGGTCTTCATGTTGTATGGTAATTAGCATTATCCTGGGCCAAAACTATTTGCATGTCCTTCGTGCCTTGTCGTTTTTCGTTGCCATCAAATTAACATATTGATCAACACTGGCTGGCCGGCCAGCTGGCAATTGTCCTTGCTGTGTACGTGCACTCGACTTGCAGACGGACAAGTGCCACTTGCAGCACGAGCTAGCGTCAGCTTTGAAGTCAATTCAATTTGAATTTAAAACACACTTCGTTGCACTTCATCGATGTCCGATGTCCTTGCAATTGGGGGCTAACTGTTTGAGCAGTCGGTCAGTCTGTCTGTCTGTCGCTCTGTCCAATTCATTCAATTTTCGACTTACCTCGCTGTCCTCGAACATTGGACTGTCGCTGGAGTCGAGATTATTATCCAATTTTGAGTCGGCATTTATGCCATTGCGCGTCCATAGCTTCTTCCAGTCGTTATCTGTGAGTATTGACTTTTGGTCTGCAATCAAAATGGGAAACAAAGCGTTAGACAAGAGACTAACAAATACGCCAAGTCCAAAGTGCAATCACAAATTGCGTTAAGGGGCGTCTTCAAAACCTAACTTCGAGTTTGGCAATCAGCGAAAATATATTTATATACATATAACTTTTTTTATTGCGCACTGCAATTGCCAGCGAAAATCTACTCTGATCCCTTTCACCACCTGCTCTTGCTGCTCCTCTTGAAAAATCAGTTACAACTGTTGAAATAATAAAGCATTTGATTGACATACAAAAACTCAGCGTGTTATTTACGATTATTGCCTCTACATGGCATTTATTGATTGCCCTCGACGCTTCTCCCTGTTTTTGTCACACGCACACACATGCTCACACCAGGAAGGGGGTACAAATGGCTTCCCATTGTCCTTGTTTAATTTTTTGTTTATTTTTGTAGCACGAAATGTTGCTATATCTAAATGTAATTACATCTAGTTTGAGGGCAGCTTGAAAAATTGATTATTAGCTGGAAGTTATTAAGTTAACAAAAGAAATGCACTCTAAGTTTTTGTTTAAAATGATTATTATGTTTGTAGTTAGAAAAGAAAATGGGCGACTCTATAATAACATTTTACTTGGAAACTAGAAAAATCGAGTACTTATGAACTGCAACTCGTGAGAAGTGCATAGAAAGGCACGGCGAATTTTTAATAGAGAAGAAGAGAGTGAAGGAGATTCTTAATGTATCTCTGATAAATAAATTTCAATTGCCAATAGGAATATTAAAGTCTTTCTGCTATTACATCAACTTTATGAAAATCGCATAGAAAGGCGCATATTTGTAAAACCGGATTTTTATTAGCTTAAACAGCTATAAATTTCTCTATTAACGTCTTCTTTGACTAAAGGTTCCTTTTGTTTTTCTTAAAACTTGCTATTTCGCAGAATTTTTGTTGAATTTCTTTTTACAGCACAAGACGATGACCTGCAGATTTTTTTTCGTATTGATTCAATCAGTTAAATAGCTGCCGAACCTTGCCACACGCCCTAATATTTAGCGCGTCATACTACGCGGCACTTTATGATAAATAAAATCGATTAAAATGAAAGCAAATACCGATTAATCCAATTAGTCTGCACAAACAAAGTTACTTTAAACAAAGACGCAAAGTCTGCCCAGGCTGTTGACCCAAACTGCGGCAATTAATATACAAAAAAGACGTCACTTCAACCCAAACCGAAATCTACGTAGAACTACTTCTAATATTTGCTAACTATATTTCATAAAGCGGGCTTCTTGCAGCTAATAATTAGCTATTTATGTAAATAAGAAATTCTAGATTCGAAGAAATGCGTAGCAGAAAGAGTAGAAAATAACTTTGTCAACAGTTTGGTTGCCTAGCTGACCTTTGGATGAGCCGCATAAGTGAGGGCAATATGCCCCAAACATCCGGGCTTACATAACCGAATAGGTTATCAAATGTAGGAACCTTAAGGCGAGTTTTTTGTTATGACCCTAATACGAATATAATTAGTTTATAAGTTGTAGTTGTAGCCATCGATGGGAACACTGGACAATTTTAAGGAAACAAAATTGCCGATAAGTACCCGTGTCTATTTATAGGCCAGCACGTAATACAATGCTGCTGCTGCTCCCAGACACAGGCAATTATTAGAGTGCAATTTATTAAGTATACGCCCCATGCTAATTTGAATCTGAGCAAGTGCAACTATAATTTTCTCAAGTTTTGGTGTTTACTTTAATTAGGAAACTTTGATTGCCCGGGCAACCCGGACTGTGAGTGGACAAGCCCGGACCCGTAGCCAAATTAAATTTCCGCCACGCTGAACCGTAGCCGTAGTCGAGTCCCTTTTACTTCTTGATGTAGCATTTTTTAATGGGCTTGCGTGCTCAAGCAGCTGGAATATGACTAACCAGCGGCAGGTGGGGGCTGGGGGTTGGTTGTTGATAGGCGCGGCCTCAATATAAACTCGGCGCTGTGAAAGGGAATTTAATCAATCAATCAGCGGTGCGTAGTGCAGGCAAAACTTTTAAGCAGGCGCCGCACACGTGAACATTTGGCCTTGGCCCAACCCAATCTGCAATTGGTTGTGCGTGAAATCGAAGCAATGCGCAGTGTCTCTCACTTCCCCTCTGTCACACCCTTCATTCCCCCCCTCATATTTACCTACTGTCTGCCCCGCTGTAAGCCATAAAACACAGCGTAGCCAGCTCGCACTTTTATTGCCTCGTAAATTTTTATAGTTCATACTTTAGGCATGCGTATGCACCCAAACCCCAAAAACCAGCTACACATATCTGTGTATCTCTGTGTATCTGTGTGTGTGCGTCTTATGCTCTGCACTGGTATTTGTTATTGAATTTGTATTCGTTTCGTAGTCGCATTTGTCGAGTACATGCGCATTGTCCGTGCTGTAATTTATGCGCCCGTTTTGCTGCCAATGACGTCAAAGTATTGTATATGTATATATTTTTTGGTCTCGCTGCATTGAGTTTAAATTTTTCGCATATACCATATTTATTTGGCGTTGAGCACATTAAAAGTCGACAGACAATGGCAATGCGCCATTAATAACAACAAATATGCCAGAGGCGGGGGGACGGGGACGGGAACGGCAACGACGAGGACGAGGGCTTTATGACGGGTCAGGTCGATTTTTGTGGTCAACAGCAAAAACACTTGGCTCAAGTCAACATATATTCAGCTGAAGAGCCAAAGGAATATAAGTCTGCAAAATTCTTTATCTTTGCATTTGTATGCATGACAGCACAAACACACACGCACAGGCACACAGGCACACACATGCACACTGACAAGCCGAAATATATTGCGCATGTTAAGAGGAATGTAAATGCTCAGACACAAATACAAATACAAACACAAGCGGCAAAAGCCAACGCACGCCCAGTCTCCAGCAGCGTCTAAGGTCAAGTGCCAGCCACACTACGAGTCTAGTGTGTGCGTGTGTGTGTGTGTGCGTGCTGGTGTGTGTGTGCGCGCTATAATAGTAAAAAAACACGCACTGCTAATAAAATGGCTAAAATTCGCGTATTTCAGCGCTTCACTGCTTTCTTTGGCTTTCTCCGCTTTCTCCGCCCGATACGTGCGCATGTCAGCCGCCTGCGGCTTAGGCGTGTGAATTATATTATGCCTGAAAATAGGCAACTGTAATAAAACTTGGAGCAAAAAGCAAAATAGAAATGGCGTCCAATGGCCACCCACAAACCGGATGTCCTGCAAAAATATAGCACAAGCAGCAGAAAAACTTTTGTGAATAAAGTCCAATTGAACGACTGGCAAATGCCCTGTAACTAAGTTAAGTTGGTTAGTTAGTTGTCATATCTTAAACCTAAATCTACCTTTTTATATAAATCTTTCTTTTTTGCATTTCCTGTTTTTCTTAAATATATCTTTTGATTATATTTCATGGCATATATCTTGTCTGTTATCTGACTATTTAATAAACCCTTGACATTTTTGCAGTGTATACAAATTATGCAATTTCTGTGCTTTTCTAACAATAATAAATTAAATGAATATTTTCGGTATATTTTGTCGCAGTTGTTTTTTGCATGCAGTTCTAATCTATTTATGCAACCCTTTACTGATCTCTTCGACTTTTGCAGGGTGAACCAAAGAATATGTAAAAGTCGCTTTTAGCTTTTTCATACCATTTCCTGTTCGTTCTTTTTTCTTTTTTTTTTTGGGTGGGTGGGGGCAACTGAAAAGCGATAAATAATGAAGTCAGCAAGTGCGACTGGCGTGGCTTGCATGTTTATTATTAATAATAAATATTTCTTGTCAATCCTGCGAGCGTTTAAGTTTTCTATGGCACCGAAGCACGACACATGGTTCTTGTTGTTCTTGTTGTTGTTGTTGTTGTGCGCACTTGTCATGTTTCTAAAATGATTATTTATCTGTCTTTTACTTGGCTCCAACACACACACACACACACACACACAGAGACACACAGCCAGGCAAGCAGCGTGGCGTATGCGTAATATTTTAATGCGCTGCCAATATGTTGGCGCTGTCTGCCGCCAGTTAAGCCCGAAAGCTGCTTAACTCAACGCTCCTTGGCCAAAGTGCTTAGCAGTTTTTAAGCTGCCTGACAGCCTCCCGCCTCCCGCCTCCCTCCTGCCACCTGCCTGCCTGCTGCCTGCCTGCCTGCCTGCCTGCCACCTGCTGTGGCTGCCTAAACCTGAGCTCTGTAACCCCTCTAAGCCAAAGATCGCGCGTCTAGCGTTACAAATGCCTTCAGCTTAATATGAAAACCACTAAGAAAATTTGCAAAATAGCTGAAATTGTGCAGCGCATTAGAAGAGCATCCAAAGGCAAAACTCATTTGCACTTGAAACATGAGCGCGAGTGTAAACAAATGGCAAAGGGCGGATGGAGCGACAGCAACACAAAAAAAAAAAAAGGAAAACATTGCAAAAGTAAGCTGAGTAGGTGTGCGTGTGTGTGTGTGGAGTGTGAAGTGTGCGTGTGAAGCTGCCCCGGCGACCTTGACGCAGGCAAATATGCCAGAGACAAGCAGACAGACAGAAGAGAAAGAAAGTGTGTTTGTGGAAGACAGAAGTTGACACGTGTATTTCTGCTGCTGTTGCCTGCCTGTCAGCTGAAAGTGCTAAGCTGACTTTTCCTGCGTTTGGCAGCAAGCATATATAACTTATGTATACATATTTATTTATATTTATTTATATATATATACATATATCTGCAATGTGTGCAGAGCGAACTGTAGGGCTTCGCAGAAAGCCGGCTTCAATATTTGCCGAGCAGTTGCTGAGGAGTTCTTTGGCTTTTCTTTTGAAATACGAATGAAAAAAAAATATATAAGAAATCCTGACAGTTGCCAGTTGTGTAGCGCATTTTCCGCTGCTCGGGCTGGTGAATTATTTGCATATTTTCCATTTTCCATTTTCATTTGTTTTTCGGGCCACTTTAAAAAGTCTATTTAAAAAAAAAAACAAAAAAAAAACCCTCTCTTGTCATTTGCTTTTGCTGTGTTTGGGCTTTTTGCATAGATTTCTAAGCCACAAGGCGTGGCAATAAATTTTCAATTTTTGGGCTGTCACACGAGCTAGCCACGCCCCGCCCCGCCCCGCCCCCCACGGCCGGAGGCGGCATAATGAGCGCACCGCGAGCCGATAAGGTGTCGCCATTGCTTTTGTTACGCTTCATAATTTATGCGTAACGCGTTTGGCCAAACCAAAAAAAAAAGAAGACAAAAATATAGAGACTAAAAAAGCGACTCAAAAAGGCCTTTAAAAAAAAGCAAACAAAGCGCAAGGCGCATGCCGCATGGGGGCAGGCTTTTAGGTCAAAACCAAAGCCACAAGGGCAACAGTAACAGTTACAGTAACAGCAACAAGAAGTGAAAGCGGCAACAACAACAACGACAAATGGCGAGGCGCCCTTAACGCTAATCTCTCCCCTGTGTATTTTTCATTATCCTTATTATTTGTGAATGTTACGTGTCGGCCATAACTTAGAGCGGCTAACGATGCGTATACGTGATGCCGCGCACACACACTCGAACACACACACACACACGCACGCACACGCATAGACTGGGGCCGGGGTGTGGCATGCTTTTAGGCCGCGTCCATTTAAACCAAATTAGCAAAAGGTCAAAAAGTGCCGCGAGCTGCGCGTCGTCGTTCGCTGAGCTGTGAGCTTGATGAAAAATTAATAATTGTTTGCCAAGCAATTGCCGACGACGGCTTTAAAATGTTGTTTACCTGTGCACTCGCCGTGTGGCCAGGCCAGGCCGTAAGTTTAGGCAAACTGAAAACTGAAACTGCGCCTCCACTCGAGCTGCTCTAGGCCACGCCTCCACGATGGGCGGGCCAGCCATTCGCTACATTTACCAAATTGAATGACAAACATTCAACTCGTCGCATTCAAGCGCGTATTTTTCTCAGCTCAACTCAGCTCATCGTCGCTTTTGGCCCATTAATGAAAATATTTGGCCAAAAAGTTTCTAGCCGCAGGTGCATACTTAGTGCTGGAATTTAATGCGCTTCAGTCTCTCACGGCCTAATAAAATTTGCTAGCATAATAAATCCGTAAATTGGCAAAGTTTGCCTAGCCGTCTAGGATTAGGCGTTTAATTGCGTGGGGCGTGGGGCGTGGCCCTTGAAAACAGTACATTTAGCTCTGTAAGCAGAGTGGGCTTTATGCAAATAGTAAAATAAATACTAAAATAAACTGCTGCATACTTTGAGGCGCGGCGAGAAAATTTCATTTAAATTCAATTGTCAGGCCACTAAAACCGGACTCGCTTTTAACTGTTTGGCGCAAATTGCTGTTGCATTAATTAAACAGCGAATTTAAATACCCTATTAAAAAGTGTATAAAGAGTATATTGGTTCTGCGCCAGGTCCATCTCGAAGTCCTTCAAAATGTGTAGGCAACTTTTATCAGACTTGATATTCGGAATATATGCTCATGCATAACTGCGTCAGATAAAGGAGGGGGGGCGTGGCAAATGGGGTTAAGATTGGAAAACTGTAGAAGAACTTTGGAGCTAGCTGAGCCTAGCAACAAGTTAAGATCTTCTCCAAAGATCAACTCGATTTCTGAAATCAGAATAAATTTTAAGCTGCAGTAAGCTGAACTGTGAGTCGTTAACAACCGTGTCTGACTATAATACTCTGTATTGTTGTTTTTTCTGTTTTGTTTTGTTTTGTGGCAACTTACCTGGCTCCAGCGTGGTGGCCAGCAGCAGCGTGGGCAGGCAGAGCAATAGTATGCGCAGTTCCATTAAATGCAGCGGCAAACGCAGCAGCCGCAAACTCAGCAGCCGTGGTGGCAACATTTGTGGCAAGACGCGAGACTTCTGCTCAACAAAACGCACGCGCTTCGCTTAACGTCCTATTGTCGGCGTGTGGCAGCTACAGCACAGCTGCGGCAACTTGGCTAGCGGCTGGCGGCTGGCGTCTTTAACTGTGACTACACCGCACAATGGCACATCGATGCCATGCGTAGCTGTTGTTGTTCTTGTTGTTGTAGTTGTAGTTGTTGCTCCCTTATTAGGGTTAATGGCTTTTTGAATGAACGCGCTGTTTCCTTTCAGCACTGGCAACACAAACTTACACACATATGTCTCTTGTCTGAGCTGATGCGCTGATAAATGATGCTGCTGCTGCTACTTCGATGCAGTCCTTTTGCTACTTCCTGCTCGTTTCTTTCTTTTTTACTATTTTCTATTGCCTTGCGCCGCTTTGTTGTCGCTTGTCAATGCGCTGCCCGTGCTGTCCTGTTGCCAGTTGTTGTTGCCAGTTGTTGTTCGAATGCCACCCACAGTGACAACGCGCAACACCTAACCCCTACTATACAGTTTTTGCCTCGCTTGTTGTTGTTTGTATGTATCAAATTTGCAGCTTGTTGTTTGGCTCCTTTCTTTACTATAAGTTGGCTAGTTTGCTCCTTTGCTGGGGCTGCGACGTTCGGGCAAAACTTGCATGTTCTCCATCATTTTTCATGTCACTGCGCATTAGCACATTAAGCCACGAGCATGTATTGTTGTTGCTGCTGTTGTTCCTGCTGCTGCTGCTATTGTGTTGCACAGCGAAAAAAAATTAACACTCGCTTTTTATGAAATTACATTCAATTTGCTGTAGCTACTGTTGTTGTGTTGTTTTTTCGTTTGTGTTTGCCTTTTTGCTCTTCCTCGTGCTTTTCCCGGCAACAATAACAACAACAATCACGCGTCAAGCTGATGATGAATCGCTTTTAATGTAATATCTTTTGCCACTGGCAACTTTTTCTTCGTTCTTCCCCTGGGGAATTGTCAGTTGTTCGCACTGCTCTCTTAATAAGTTCTGCTTGAATCATGTAGTTAGTCGACGCATTCTGCAAATCAGAAATATAGAAAAAGAAGTTCAAATAAGTAAATCATAAATGTAGTTGTAATATAGAAAGAGAAACCTTAAGTATTTAGGCCTGGCAGAGAATACATGTGACTGCTCGGAAGACATAAAAAATAAGTAAGAGGTTCTAGTCGGGAGCTCCCGACTAAGGGATACCCCGAACCGTCTTCTTCCAACAGGCGATAGGTATAAAATGAAAGATACTTGATATATATATACTATTCTAGAAGCTACATGTCATGTTTGGTGACTCTAGCTCATATTATTTACCGAAATTGCTGAAAAAACAGGATTTCGATATCGATTTTTATCGATTACTTGGAAACTGGGCAAGTTGTCGAATATCGGAAACAAACTCGATCTGCGCGGGGACTAAGAGGACCTACAGCTAAAACGGACGGACGGACGGACAGACAGACGGACATGGTTAGATCCACTTGGCTGTTGATGCTGATCAAGAATTTATATACTTTATGGGGTCGGAGATGCTTCCTTCTGCCTGTTACATACATTTGCACAAATACATAATACCCTTTTTACCCATTTTCAATGGGTTCAGGGTATAAAAAGAAGGAACATTTTTAAATATTATAATTGAAACCCATTTAATCTTACTTCTGATATTATTACTTAAACTTAATATATTTGTCCTTTTCTTTGTGAATAATAACAAATTCATGAGGCAAATATGAAGAATGTTGTTGAATTTTATTTTTTATTTTAAAAAAATTATAGTACATAGATTTCCTTATTGTAAAAGCAGAATGAATCAACAGAAACAATTGTCAATTAAAACCGAGTCGGTATCAAAATCGGTTTTATTTTTGTTTGACCAAGTTATAAAAGTTTGAGCTCGGCTTGAATAAATAAAATTGTCGGAACTGACCAGCAAGGCTGTTGCGGGTTTTTCTGTTCGTTTTTTTCTCCCCTTCAGCTTAAAATCAATGTACATTTTTAAAATCGCATAATTTGGATTCAGTGTAAGCTGCCAATTAATCCAATTAGAATGCGACAACAGAAATGCGACTGCGCCAGTTTCCGATTGTTTGCTTGTTTTTGTATTTTGTATTTTTTGTACTTATTGAAGCGGATTTGTTTCAGTTGCATTAAATGGGGATTGAGCATTTCGTATTGTAATTTGCCCGCTTCCGCTGTGCCTTACAATTGCCTTAATTGTGAGTATACAAATAAGAAAAAGAAAAATAAAAAACTCGACTGCGCCCGCTAATTTGCATGCAGAATGAAATTTATTTATTGTGCCAGCAAATTTGCCACATTATTTATAGGTCAACAGGAGGAGAACAGGACTCGTCCCGCTACTTGCCACAGTTTATGCAAAACTGGCCACAGCCACGAGTAATGAATGGCCACAAGATTGTGTTCGGGCACCGCGAGTTGCTGCTCCTCCTTGAGATGCTGCAAGAGATTCTCGATGTCGCCGCGAAGCTAGTTCACTTTTTTTCTCACCCCCTCTCTCCCAGTCTCTGTCTCTATCTCTGTTATAATTCATATGCCCTTTAAGAGAGTATTTGAATTTAATGATGTGAAATCTTCAAAGCATAGAAGATGGCTTCTTTGTATCAACAAAGTATATATATATGTATTCCTGATCTATCCTATCTATCCAAGGCTTTATCGGAATGAGTCGGATCAGCGCTCTATAGCCTATAGCTCCCATTGAAGCAATGTTTGTCTAGATGTCTGAACATTCGTGCTTTATCATTCTCTAGAAGAGTATTTAATCTCCGGTGAATCTTTCAAGTTACTTTTTGTTTGTTTATTTGTTTGCACGCACGGCTGACTTTAGTAATTTTTTCTTTTTTTTTTTTGGTATTTGTATTTTTATGTTAAAAGGCATAAAAATAAAATTTGGCAATTTGGTCAGAAAGTTTGAAGCAACTCATAATTTTTAGCTGCTTTTTATGCGGCTTTTTTTTATATATGTATTTTTATCTAACACATATCCCCGAACGCGGTCGTGTTTTAATGTTATATATATATATGTGAGCTGGAATATATATATGTATATAGATATAGATGTATATATACATATAGGGCCGGGCTAAGGCATTTAAAGCTAATGAATTTGCAAGTGCGTAAATTAAAATTGAAATTTAGCCGCAAAATTGCCAAAGCGGCCGCTACTCATTTTAATTACAATACAATGTGACTATGTGTGTGTACGTGTGTGTGTGTGTGTGTGTGTGTGCGTGCGTTAAAGTATGCTGGTATATTTAATTAAGCTGCGTCCATGGCAACTTATTTGCAACAAACATTAGCAAATGTCATGTGGCATGAATTTATGACACACTCGTGTGCAATTCATTTAAATTGATAAAAGCAGCTGATGTTTGCCTGCCCTTCAAGTGTGTGTGTGTGTGCGAGGGGGAAGGGGGGGGCTAGCTGTTGTTACTTTTGCTACTTTTTGTATCAAATGCAGCAGTTTAGAGTAATTCGCTGGCAAATGTCATGCAAGTGGAATGCTATTTTATGTGCCAATGTCTGCCACGCGCTCTCTCCCTCTCCCTCTCTCTTTGTGTGTGTGTGTGTGTGCAACACAAATATGCACTTAAATGCAGTCACGTACACACACTCACACAGAGAGAGAGAGAGAGAGAGAGAGAGAGAGAGAGCAAACGTACATATTATTATCTTGACACAATGGTGCCATAAAACTTAAAGACCCCCACAGCAGTTGCTGCCGCCCGCCCGCCCCTCCGCCCGCACGCCCTGCTCCCTTCGCTCAGGCCAACAAGGGCAAATGCTCGCCACGCTGACTGAAGAGCGGGCAGCAGGGGGAACTGGGGCCGGTCACAGTGCTATGGAGGACATGCCATTTGCCGCCCACCAGCTGCAGTCCCCCCCTGCCCCTGTCCCTGCCCCAATCTTCAGCCCAGTCTCCGTTTCTGCTGCTGCTGCTTGTGCTTTCTTTTCATAGCAGTCGCACTCGCATATGCACATTTGTTTGGATTTTACAGGCAGGCAACAGGGATGGAGGGAGGGGGGTGTGTTGGTTCGTTCATGTCCTGCTGCAGGCGCCTCGGGGCGCGTTGGAGGTTATATGGAAATTGTAATAAGTTGAAAACCAAAAAGCTGATGTCATGAGGTTAGTTGCTCTGGCTCAAGTTTCAAGCGACAATCATGTGCTTTTCTTTTGTATACTTGTTATTGTTGTTTTTCGTTTAGTGCTGCTTCTTCTTGTTGCTCTTGTTGCTCTCGTTGTTGTTGTTGTATGTTGACCTCATACTTCATTTTGTAGCTTTTGTTTGTCATGGCATGTTGTTGTTATTATTATTGTTGTTGCATAATGCACTGAGCCTGGGCCCCGTTGTCGTTGTCGCTGTCGGAAATGTAACGGCATGCCACATGACGCACACACACAGAGGCACACACACACACACCCCTGACACACTCGCTCGCACACACTAAGACAGTCATAAATATTTCATATGCAACTGCTGTGCCGTATTATTGTTGACAGTAATTGAGAGAGAGGCCGTAGTAAATTATTTAAATGTTTATTTGGGGATTTGCAGCTAAAGCGCACACAAACACACACACACACACACTCACATATATATATAAGAAAACGTAATACTGGCGACGGGCAACTGTAGCTGGACCACAGTGCGTATGATGGATGCCCGATTGCATTGGGGAGTCGTTAGCTAAAGCCAAACAAATCGCTTTTGCCTTGTTTATATTTATTACACCCGCAAATGCCGCTGCTCTCGGCTGCAAATAATTGCGACACATTTGTGGGCGTGGCCGCAATAAGTTTAACATTTGTTAAAACGTGTTTAAACCTCTTTTTTTTTGTGGTCCTTTTTTGTAGTTTATCTAATTGAGACCCGCAGGCGTTGGCCTTTTAATTAGCGTGGCTAATTCGAGCAATTACATATGTCGGTCAAAATATTAGATAACTATGGAGCATTATGCATAAAAAGCACGAGTGGATTTGCGTTTGGGAGGGGGAGGAGCGCGGGGTCTGACTGTCGTTAGCTGCAAGTTGAATGCATTTCAATTGCAGGCAAAATGCAAAATGCAGCGAAACAATTGGCCATAGCCCATAAATATGCACGCGCATATAACAATGTCCATTTTGTGGCCTGTATTGTGGATGCAACAAACAAGCCACGCCTCCCCTCCCCTTTCCCCTCCCTCCTCTTCGGAACCCGCAGCACTGCAGCTGTAAATGGAAATTGCGCGTAAC